TTTTTCTCACTCAGAAAACTTAAGTTTAGTCTTAGAAGAAATATTTAAAAGATCCAGCTCAGTATTAAAAAGTACATGGCAGTGTAATAATAATAATAATAATAATAATAAGCAATAACAATGATTAAATTCTTATTAAGGAGGCACTGTTATAATTTTTATATTTATTAACTTATATGCTCAGTAAATCTCACTGAATTTTTATTATTTTTCCTATTTTCACATGAGGAGAGTAAAGTGCTGGGTGGATAAAGAATGGATTTGAGCTCACACCTCTAGAAGCAAACTATACTGTCTTTAAAACCTTGTAGAGTTTGAAACTGTGCTCTTAAGTACTATGCTATGCTAATTTTTGGAATTATGGAAATCGTCAGAGTATTTTACATAAAAAACTATTTATGGGAATTCTTGGGGAAGTTTTTTCTAAGTAAATGTTTGCAGCATTTATACCCAGCAGAAAACCAGAAGAAATGATTTTAGATCATCCTTCATCCAATCATTTTAAGTGAATTAAAATGATGAAACATCACTGATGCTTCCGCCTTTAGTATTACACAGTATGCATTTTACTACAAGCAAAATTAAACTTAATGCTAATTAAGAGACACCCAGTGTAATTTTTTAAACTCTGGTCTCAAGTCTGATGGTATAAATACAATGCCTAAAGATGTAAAAGTTCTAAATGACATATTTAACATATTTGACCTCCTTAATGCTTATAGAGTATGACTCCCAAGAACACCTCGTTTCTCAGTGCACATAGAGAATTTGCCACAAGTGATCACTTGCTGGATTATAAAGCAAGGCATGACAAATTTAAATGGGTTCAAATCATTCAGAATATTTCTGTGGTAACAATGAAATTAATTTATAGGTTACTAACTTATCCTTTACTTTTAATTTTACTGAATCTTTTTATTGAATTTCTCATATATGTATATAGGACAATGTTGGATTTAACTTTGTCATTAAAATTTATTAATGTAATTAATATGTTCTGTTTCAATCTGTAATATTTTGTTATATATATGATATTTTACATCCTATACATGCATACATGTGTAAGTATATAGGACCGTTCAGTGTGTATCATATAAATAAATGGCTTTTCACAATTTAGTTTGTTTTGTTTGCCTTTTGCTTTTAGAAAGGTTTGCATTTTTGAGAAGATTTTTACTTTTATACTAAGATCTGTAATATATGTCTATATTATTCTCCTTTTATTTGTGCATTTATTTATTATAAGTGAATTGGAATAAACAGATAATACTCTTAATTTCCCAAACTGTGTGATTTTATAAGTGACCAAGAGCCAACACAGCTACACAACATTTCTCCTAGTTCAAAATTAATAATGAAATAACAAAGATAGAAATTAAAGGTGAGTCGATGCTTGAATGTAGTCAAGTAATTTACTGCCTTTGAACATTTGTTCCCTTGTTCTTGAAAGAAAGGGATGTGGAGTGAATATATTCAAAGTATGAATATCTTATTTTTCGTTTGTTTCTCTGTTACTCTCTTTAAAGCAATTGGTACCCTGAGATAGGAGAGTCTTAATTTAAATTATGGTATCACCCTGCCCTCTGGTGGATATGTATTTATATTGCTTATAAGGGAAAGAAATTCACACTCCGCTATGATTTTTGCAGAGGGATTTAGTATCAGATTCTATGAGAAAATATACTAATTATTGTGCATTTTGGTTGAGAATAAGACCACAAATAAGCGAGTGCCTAGGTTGCAATATTGGGAAAATTAAAATCAACATTTTTTTCTCATTATGTCAAAAAAGAAATAAAAAAACCAAACACAAAATTGCCTCTTGTGTAATAAATATTACTAGACTGGAGATTAAGAGATTCATATCAGGTTTATCTTAACTCTTTAATCTTTTTTGAAATGTGTTATATAGAAGAGTATTCTTAGATTAGGGAAAATAAAGAAAATTGTCTGTAATCACATTGATTGAGAGTTATCCATAGAGCACTAGATATGGGCATACACTTTAAACTTTCAATTCTTAAAGGTATTTCTATCCCTTCTCTTCCCTTCCCTTCCCTTCTTTTCTTTCCCTTTCCCTTTTCTCCTCCTCCTTCCCTCCTCCCTCCTTCCCTCCCTCCCTCCCTCCCTTCCTTCCTTCCTTCCTTCCTTCCTTCTTTTTCTTTGTATTCATCATCTATCATCATACTGGATTGGGGAGGCGATTTTGATTTGTATTTTCTATTTCTCATAGCATAGTATATTTATATACTTGTATATACTTGCATGAATGATCTCCCCATTTACAGAGATGAATTAATAAAACTTGGATTAAACCAAATCCTTTCTGGTTAGCAAAGTTAAAGCATGCTTATTTAATCACTACTATAATTTTATTGGGTAGGAAGTTCAACCAGCCTGTTAGATATGAATATGTTCTGGGTTTTGAGAAGTGCAGATAATTGAAAACCAATAGAATATATTGAGAAGACCAAAAGTGAAGTGATCTTACTGAGAGTTCTATACAAATATGAGGAATAGTCACACGGTATGGGGCATGCAGAGAGACATTGTGGAGTTTCATTGCTTCTGTGTTCTTTCTCAGGAGTCCTTCCCTTCCTTTTACTTCCATGGAAGTTTATATCTATATAGCCCTTTCTAATATCTTATTAGTGAGATTGAACAACCAAGGGACCATAAGAATCATTTACACTATTTTTTTTTGGATACTATGGAGATAAAGTTCTTTCTTTGTTCTGAAATTGGTTTTCCTGCAGTTTTTAAAGGAACAAAATGAATTTTTTCTCTTGAAGTCACAGGGAACAAGGCCAGCCTTTCAGATTTTAGCTTTGAAATATTTTAGAAAGGTTTGCATTTTTACAAAGATTTTTACTTTTATACCTATATCTGTAATATGCACCTATATTATTCTCCTTTTATTTGTGCAGTTACTTATTATAAGTGAATTGGAATAAACTTATAATGCTTTTAATTCCCCAAACCATATGATTGTGTAAGTGTGTTATCACTTATTGTATAAGTGTATATTGTGTGATTATGAGTTCCCTTTTGTTTTTCCTGTGCATTACAGACATCTTCAGGTCCTTAGTTAGGTTATTAGATGCCAGACGCTATAATTCCCATATATAATATCACTATTGATTACTTGACATGGCAAGATACTGGTGCAATTATTAGTTGTTAGAACCATTGGCTTATCCGCAATGAAATGCTGTCAGGAATTTAATGTTCCCTTTCAAATTATAATGAGAATGGGAGTTACCTCTTGTTGTCTACATAAACTATTAATGCAGCAAAATTAATGATAAATGCTGCGTTAGAAGTAAATCAACTTCATTCACAATACCTATACCTTTCTACAATCACAACCTCTTTGTTATTCGACACTTGTCCTTTTGGCATGGAACCCTAGTACAGGGTTCAACACCCAACACAAATTCCAGCTGCATTCCTTACGCAGTTTGGCTCCTCTGATCCTCCAACCCTATCCTGTACCTGTATAAATCTTACTTCTAATTGAGAGAAACATGAATGTCCAAATTTCTACCTTGGTTCATGTTATCATATCTGATTAAAAAGTCTTTCGTTTTTCCTTCTTGTTGTAATCAATTTAATATTATGGTTTGGCACCAAGTTCAAAGTTGTTTTATGATTTTTCCAATCAGGAAAAATCTGCAATATTATTCAGTAATTTCAAATTCTGAAGCGTATCCCTAATAAGCTTGATAAAAGCTTAAAGTAAAAAACAAAACAAACAAAAGAACTTATGCATAGTGACAATGCAGAAAAGTGCAACTTTTTTAAAGCAAATCATAGTTTCTCCTGCTATATTAAAATTACACGATAATAATCACATTATTATAAGCCACGATCTTGTATCATTACTCAAAAGATACCTGCCCACTGATCTGGAAATAATTTTGGAGCTTGCACTATCAAGAAATGAGTTTGCATTGCAGGGGTTGACAAATTTATGAGTCACAAATCAAATCTGGTCTCTTGTCTTTATAAATAAAATGCTATTGACACAGCCATGCCTGGTGGTTTATGTGTCACCTAAGACTCCATTTGTGCTACAACATGCAAATCAAAGAGTAAGATTGAGTCTGTATGTCCCACAAATTAAAAATATTTACCATATGAATCTTTACAGTAAAAGTTTGCTGACGCTTCTCTATTAAATCCAGTAACAGATTGAGATGTTTATATGTTAAGTTATGGAAGCTTCTTAAATAATATATATTATTTTTCAACTTTAATAATAAATATAAGCATTGAGTAACATTATGCTCATATTTGGAAGAGCAATACAAACTACTATTTTAAGAAAATCAATTGTTTTCATAGAAAATGAAGCTCATATTACAATGTTAAATTAAAAAATAGTAAGCAATAAGATTATATGATACTTATTGTATAAGTTTTATATCAAGTTACACAGTAAAAAAATATATGTAGAGAGAGACACCAGAAATACAACCAGGATTAAGAGCAGTTCTCTGAATTGTTACCCAATAGCTGATTTTTATTTTGTACCTTTCTGTATTTTATAGGTATTTAAAGAAAAAATAATTTAAACCTGGCTTATTGCTTTTAAAAAGATTGATAGGTCAAAGTTGATGATGAAATAATTCCCCAATCTGTAGAAGAAATTATATATAACCAAAGTATCACATGAGACATTACTTCACCTAATTGCTCTACCTGTGGCCTCCAAGGCAATACTTCAGTGATATTCTCCAGGGCTAACATCCCTGAGGTCTTGGTGGCATATATGTGTAACACGGTTTGGTGTTAGGATTCAGCTTTTTGGTCTTTTCTCTCTGTCATCTGTAAGTTTATAATAGATTAGAGAAAAAAGTCATTTCCCTTAAATATTGCAATATACTGTAGACTCCTATTAATATTTTTACAGGGTTGTTACTATATAATTTTTAAAGTTGAAATCTCAGCAGGAACTTTTTTGGAGTTCATTAATTTTAGCAAAGAAGATTTAGTAAATGAGTAAGTCAAATTTTTCTGCACTCAGGTGAGTGGATTCAATCTTATTTTATTTCACTTTAGAAGGAAAGTAATGTATACCGGTAATCTTTGCAGGAAGCAAACACATGTTGCGCAAACTGCCAGAATACGTACTTAGCCCATGGCAAGTATTTGAATATTCACTGACCTACATCACTAGGACAATTTCAGTGTTTGTTGATCACAATATCCTTATCCTTCTCTTTATATATATGAACTTTAATAATAAAAAGAATGATATGTTATATCATTTGTCATTTATATATATTGTGTGTGTATATATATGTGGGTAAGAATGAGATGAATACATATCAGAAATTATATTTATTCTTTAAATTAAATTTATTGTGGTGACATTGGTTAATAAAATTATATAGGTTTCAAGTGTACAATTCTATGATACATCATCTGTATATTGCATTGTGTGCACGCCACCCAAAGTCAAGTCACTTTCCTTTATTATATATTTGACCCCCTTTATGCTTTATTGCCCCACCTCCTTCTCTTTGGGTAATTGCCATACTGCTGTCTGTGTCTATGACTTTTCATTTGTTTGTTTTCTTGTTTGTTCATTTGTTGCTTTCAGTTTTATGTCCCACTTATAAGTGAAGTCATATGGTTCTTGATTTTTTCTGTCTGACTTATTTTGCTTATCATGATATTCTCAAGGTCCATCCATGTTGTCGCAAATGGAAATATTTCATCTTTTATGTCTGAGCAGTGTTCCATTGTGTATATATATATCTTCACATCTTCCTTGTCCAATCATCCATCAAAGGATATTTTGGGTATTTATTTTTGATGGTGATCATTTCCCTTTCAACCTGGAATGTTCAGACATTGTCATAACAGCCACAAAGATCAATACATATTTTTGGAAAAAGTAAGCAAAAATGCACTCTGTTGTGGAATTTGTATTTGATGAGTTTTATGTGAAGTTGAAAAACACATTCAGGATATTATAATAAATATGGTGAAAGATCAAACCAGAAGTATAAAAGCAAAGGGATTTGAAGGAACAATTGAAGAGGAAAGGTACAGGAAGATGTGAATGATATTGCTATATATGCAGGAAACCTTTAAGTGCTATGTATGATCATGGAGGATAAAGGCGTAATAACTGAGTGAAGATGATGGAGGGTTTTCATTCAACTCATAACAAGACCTAGAATTTTAAATTCTATGTGGAATGACTTTTCCTTTATGCTGAGTGTCATTTCAGGTTTTAGTAAGTAGTCAGGGAGTGGCTTTGAGAATAATCGCTTATGACAGCCGAAAAAGGCAGTTGAGGCATTTTGGAAGAACATAAAACATCAAAAAATATTAATACATCCTTTTCCCTCTACATGTCCTTATTTTCTGCTACTTCAGGAAGATTAGGTCCCAGGGGATTTCACTATGACGACTTGCTTTGTAGGACTCGAGATATGTGCGTCAGGGCATAGTGAGTTTATAGAGTGGTCCTGATGAATAGGCAAGTCTAACTTCTCTAGAATTTTTGTAAGCTTTTACCCTGGTACAAGTATATAACATTCTCAATGTTTACTCACTCACATAATCACATTCATTTCTTCAGTAAATGTTACTGAGTACCTAGTCTGTCCTCGTACCTATTGTCACATCTTTGGTTTTGCAAATTTTATTTTATTGTGGAACAATGAAGAAAATAATAATTGATACAAAATAAGTAAAATATGTATTATGTTACAAATGTGAATAAATTTGGTATTCCTGAGACTTATAATTATTGATAAAGGCATAGTTAACTGTATGACTATGGTTTTGAAGAATGTGTCAATTGGAGATAAAATTATTGGCAGAGATCAAGAAACTTAGAGAAGACGGAATTGTAAGGATTATCTTTATGTTTACCAAACATTCTCAATGCCACACCAAATAAAAGCCACACTGGAATACCTAAGGAACAGTGCCCCGAGTGTAAAGGGTTTGAGGTAGGCTAAGTTCACCATTTAATGGTGATATAGTAGAAACATCTCTGGCATAATAAAAATAAAATAATAAAAATATTTTTTCTAAACAAGTTCCTATAAATACTATAAATTACAATACACCAAGAAAGAGTAACAGATTTTTATAATTTTCTTTTTTTCACTTTCTTTCAATTTATTTTTTATTTTTTGTTTTTTTAATTTATTTCTTTTCAAAAACATTAAATTTATTTTTTAAATAATTTTTTAATTGATGTTCAAGTACAGTTTTATCCATTCCCCCCTCCCCATCCTCCTACCTACCCCATCCCTGCCCCACCTCCCACCTTTGGCATATATGGCCAATCAAGTGCATTATTCCTCTGCAGGAGATATCTAAATTAGGGGGAGAGAAATGTGTGACCAACTATAAGAATGTCTCTAGAAAGGAAAATTCAGAAATAGCTATAACAAGCCCTGGCTGGTGTGGCTTAGTGGATTGAGTGCTGGCTTGTGAATGAAAAGGTTGCTGGTTCAATTCCCAGTCAGTCAGGGCACATGCCTGGGTTGGGGGCCAGGTCCAGGTCCCCAGTTGTGAGTGTATGAGAGGCAACCACACATTGATGTTTCTCTTACACTCTTTCTCTCTCCCTTCCCCTCTCTCTAAAAATAAATAAATAAATGATCTAAAAAATAAACTAAACGAAGTAAAAAAATAGCTATAGCAACAATAGTAATAAAGAAAATGAAAAATTGTAACGACCATTTTGCTAGGTCATTGATTTCCTTTTGAGTTCTAACTTTTTCTTGTTAAACTGGTTAGGCAGGGAAGAAATTATTGAAACTTATGATATGTATGTCCTCCAAGACAAGCATTTTAAATCAACTTATATTCAGTCAAAAAGCTAGACTGGCTCTTCCCATGATACTGTCTGAGAATACTGCGTCTTATCACTTAGAATATTAGAGAGCCAACTCTGTTTTCGTCCTTCCTTCTTTTATTATTCCATTTAGAAAGATGGTAAATTTACTCTAGAATATTTATATTAGTAAATTCTAGCTTCTGAAAAATGTAACAAATAAATGAAAGCAAGTACTTTCCACAACACTATATATATTCACTATGTCTTTCAACATTTGCTCCTTTTAATCTGGCTTATCCAAATTTTGCTTCCCATTTTTCTGAATCAACTTTCCTATTTTGTCCACAGGAACCAAGAAAACCAGAGTGATGAAGTCACCTTCATCCTCTTGGGCTTCTCAGAGTATCCGGACCTTCAGGTACCTCTGTTCCTGTTGTTCTTAACTATCTACATAGTCACTGTGCTGGGGAACCTGGGCATGATCGTAACCATCAAGATCAACCCCAAACTCCACACTCCCATGTACTTTTTTCTCAGCCACTTATCCTTTGTTGATTTCTGCTACTCTACGGTGATTACCCCCAAACTATTGGAAAACTTGGTTATAGAAGACAGGACCATCTCCTTCACAGGATGCATCATGCAGTTCTTCTTGGCCTGTGTATTTGTGGTGACAGAGACATTCATGTTGGCAGTGATGGCCTATGACCGATTTGTGGCGGTGTGTAACCCTCTTCTCTATACAGTAGTCATGTCTCAGAAGCTTTGTTCCCTGTTGGTGGGTGCATCATACTCTTGGGGTATAGCGTGTTCCCTGACTCTTACCTACTTTCTATTGGAATTATCCTTCAGAGGAAATAATATCATAAATAACTTTGTCTGTGAGCACGCTGCTATTGTCTCAGTGTCTTGTTCTGACCCTTACATTAGCCAGAAGATCCTATTAGTCTCTGCCACTTTCAATGAAATAAGCAGCCTGGTAATCATTCTTACTTCCTATGTTTTCATTTTTACCACTGTCATGAGGATGCCTTCAACTGGGGGGCGCCAGAAAGCTTTCTCCACATGTGCCTCCCACTTGACTGCCATCACTATTTTCCATGGGACCATTCTTTTTCTCTACTGTGTTCCTAACTCCACAAGCTCCTGGCTCATGGTCAAGGTGGCCTCTGTCTTTTACACAGTGGTCATCCCCATGCTGAACCCACTGATCTACAGCCTCAGGAACAAAGATGTGAAGGAGGCAGTCAAGAAATTAATCAGTACCAAATTGTCATGCTAATTAATGTAAAATGGCCAAAATTTACTTACCAACTAATTACTTACCAATTAATTTCCAAGAGCATTGAGCATTTTTGTCCAATTTTTTCTAGTATTTTTACTACTTCAAATTCCTTTTCAAAAAGTGAAGTGGTGCATATGTTTAATGTAACACCCCAGTTATGAATCATTCAACCTCTGCTCAGTTTAAATTTTAGCACATTAGTTATAAAATAATAAATAATAGTAATTAAAGCTCAGACCATTTAAATTAAGTCTTTGCACAGAGAGTTTGTTCTGTAAAGATCTCTGAGTGAGTACACAGTATCATCTGGCTTCCCAGGGGAATCTTCTTTTCTTTTTTTAAGTCATTGATGAATGGGTTTAAAGAGCTACTTTGAATATTTATAGCTTACCCTGAAGGAGTATACATCAAATGCAATATACTAAACTATGAGTTGTTATCAGACACTAAATCACTAAATTTAAAAGAAATATTTAATTCCACACAGGAAGCATTGGTACATTGTAAGTGCAAAAAAGCCTATCTTTACCCTTTCCTCCCCCCAAATCCAGATTATTGTTTGGTTAAATTGTACTTATTAATATAAATTTTATTTGCTCTTTGTGTATAAAACACCAAAAATAACAATTAATGATTGTACACTTCAGAAATAATATCATAAAATCAAAAATTGCCATTCATGCCAGTCTTGAGTTGTATGTAATATATCTGTTGTGGTGTAATAATAAAACAAAATAAATTTTCAGTAATATGTAAGGCAATATTTTTATTGGTGGATTGAATGGAAAGCCCTGCTAATATCAGCTAGAGCTTCTTGGCTAACCCGCTCTACTAGTCTTGTCTAACTGGCAAACTCACCTCTAGTCTGTAGATCTGCAAGGTAATTGAGTGGTTGTGCTCTGCGTGCTGTTGGGCTGGTTAGAGTATTTCTTGCATTGTCAGTGGTTGAGTCACAAGACAGAAAGAAGGTACTATAACAAAAGATAGTTCAACCTCCTTTTCATGTTATGCGTGCTAACATTCTGTTAGCCAATGCAAATCACAGAGCTGAGCACAAAGTCAATGGTTGAGAAAATACCTGCATAATGTAGAACTGAAATGTTACCTGACAATGAGCATAGATACAGAGGAAAAATGAGGAACTTCTCAATATTTCAATATATCTAAAGTTTATGGTAAAGTTTACTTCATGAAAATATTTTTTTTCTGTCTTCCAGATAAGTATGATATAACTGTTCTAGTTTGACAGACTTTTCCATAAACGAATGGGCTACTGGGTTAACTTGATTAAATGACTCTTTGCTGGTGTTGCTTGCTGATCATGGTCGATGTCTCATAGGACAAAGTCTTGGTAAATTTTCAAGTATCACAGTTCCAGTGTAACTGCAGACTGTGAACTATGTTACTGGTTTCACTCAAATTGTAGACATTTTATATCCAAATAAAAAATTCTAATTTTTACCACCATAAGATTTGCTATCAAACTTTGTAACCTAACCTATTTTCTGAGTGGTTAGCAATACATAACAATATTTTCAACTATCCAGGGTATATAATTACATATTTATGTGATTTATTTAACATACACACTCAACCAAGTGTGCCTGTCAACAATACTTTGACTGAGTATGTTAATAAAAATATTTAATGACAGAATATATGTATTTAGGAGGTGTGAACACAGTATAGAGCAAACTATATTGATAGCTGCCATAGGTACTTGAATTTAAGAACCTAATCTTTAAAAAATCTAAAGATGGAACTGCCTTTTGACCCAGTGATCCCACTGCTGGGATTATACCTTAAAAATCCTGAATCACCAATTTAAAAGAGCATATGCACCTCAATGTTCAAGCACTATTACTTACAATAGCCAAGTGCTGGAAATGGCCTAAGTGCCCACCAGTAAATGAATTGACCAAGAAACTGTGGTTCATTTACACAATGGAATACCATGCAGCAGAAAGAAAGAAGGAGCTCCTACCCTTCGCAACAGCATGGATGGAACTGGAGAGCATTATGCTAAGTGAAATAAGTCAGGCAGTGAAAGACAAATACCGTATGACCTCACCATTAAATGGAACCTAATCAACAACAAAAAAAAACAAGCGAGCAAAATATAACCAGAGACTTGGAAATAAAGAACAAACTGACAGTGACCAGAGGGGCAGGAAATGGGGGATAATGGAGGAAACAAAGGAAAGGAGCAAGTCAAGGAACATGAGTAGAGGACTCATGGCCCTGGACAATGGGGTGGAGATTGGCTATGGGAGACAGGTGTGGGTGGGGCAGGGGAGAGCAACAGGGAAAAAGATGGGACAGCTGTAACTGAACAACAATAATAAATAAAATAAAAAAACACATAAATGAGAGAAATTAGGTAAATCACAATTTTAAAACTGTAATTAGGTTTCTGTGTTAAAGGAGAAAACAAAACCAATTATAAAAGAAAACTCTGGATAGCTATAATTTTCTTTAGACTAGATCATTGGTTATTCCAGAAATGTTCTTCTTTTAAATTTTATTTTTAAATCATGTTTATTCTATTACGGTTGCCTCAATTTTTCCCCCTTTGCCCTCCTCCAACCATCCCACCCCGCCCCCCTCTCCCACAGTCAATTCCCACTCTGTGGTCCATGTCCATGGGTCATTCACACAAGTTCTTTGTTTAGTCCCTTCCCTTTCTTTCCATCACTGTCCTCCTTCCCTATCCCCTCTGGTCACTTTCAGTCTGCTTCATGTTTCCTTGACTGTGGTTTATTTTGTTTGTTAGTTTATTTTGTTGAATAGATTCCACTTATAGGTGAGATCATATGGTGTTTGTCTTTCCCGACTGGCTTATTTAACTTAGCATAATGTTCTCCAGTTCCATCCATGTTGTGGCAAAAGGTAGGCGTTCTTTCTTTTCTTTGTTTGTTTGTTTCTTCCTTCCTTCCTTTCTTCCTTCCTTCCTTCCTTCCTTCTTTCTCTCTCTCCCTCTCTCTTTCTTTCCTTTTAAATGCAGATTGATTTTATTTATTTATTTTTTAAATGTCAAGATCCATTATAAAATATTAAAAAATTTAAATCCATTATAAAGTCTCAGCAATCATGAGACCAGTTAGATTTTGCTAAAGCTGATTCTTCTGTCTGAAGTTAAAAGGCTCCTCTCTTGCTATTGTTCAGTTGTTCCTTCCAGGAGATTTCTCCACAGTTTAGTTGTAATTCCAGGTTGGTCCTGGGAGGAGGTCAGTGTGACTTCCACTCACTCCTCTGCCATCTTGATTCTCCTATTCCAGAAATGTTTTTGAGAGAACATTTATTTACCCTATGTAATGCAGAAAATCTCCAAGAATTTCAAAGTTATACATTTAAACTGAATGTACTCATTTCAAATATGAAGTGAATGCATGATTTTAATGAAGGGTCTAATAAAGTGCTAGTGATGGGCTCCTCATTTCAACGTACGAATTATATTCTTCTTACTTTCAATTCTTGGTGGTGGTTTGGATAGGCTTGTTTCTGTAGAGCTGTGGCAAGATTTTTGGTAAAGATATTCACAACACTGAAGGAGAGCTGTATAGACTTAATAGTCACTTAATGGGGAAAATGTCATAAGTTGATTGTGGACCACATTATATAAATATTCATTTTCATACCAGGTTTAGCCATAAATGAGACTTTAGTAATAAATGAGACTTTAGTAATTTGCTAATGCTGAAAAATTGTCTTACAATATGAATATCCATGGGTGGTAGGTGATTTTTTTTTGCACACCTGGTTTTTCCTAATGTTTATCATGTTAGAAAAAGATGGCCCCTGAAAGAGAAAGGAAATTTACACAGGCAGTTAGGAGGAGGTTGTGGAGCTCCTACATCAGTGCTCTGTATTTTCTGGATGTTGCTGCCTACATACATGATTTATTCAAGCTTAAAGCCAGTCTTGTTGATGAAAAACTTTGCATTCTAAGTGCAAGGATAAAGCTCAATAGAACATTCATGAAGATAATTTTGTGCTTGTGAATTTGAGAGAAACAACATCTAGGATTAATTTCCTATGTTTTGTGTTTATTTCCCTATTGCTATCATCAAAACTTCAGGAAGGCCTTATAAATAATTATAGCCGTGTACCCAGTGTAGACAGCATATTAGAGAAGATAAAATTATAATTGTACAGAAATTTACCACAATGGAAGAATAGCAAGGCAACATTTTCAAGTTCATTTTATGAGGCCAATAGCATCAGATAAAAAAATTATAGGACAATATATCATAAATATGTATAGACTAATACTAAATTCATTGATATATAAAAAAGATAATACATCATATCTAAGAGGGGTTTAATACATGCATTCAAGTTTGGTATATTATTTCTAATCCATCAATGTAATTCAACATATTAACAAAATATAGTAAAAAATACATATAGTCACCTCAGCAGATGCAGAAAGTCATGCAGGGCACCAGTCATATAGGGTGAGTGCTGGGCAAGCCTCCAGAAGTCAGTCATCAGCGTTGACCCCTATCTGAGCCCTCCTCCCACATAAAGACACAAAGCAGTAAAGCAGGTGGCCTTACCCTGGTGATGTCCTAAGGCTCCACCCCACACAATTTATAAGTGCCTTTTTTATGATAGGCCACTCTACTAAGACAGGGGGTCAAAGCAGCTCTACCTAATACACCGAAACAAAAATAGGGAGGCTGCCAAATTGAGGATACAAAGAAATATGGCGCCCCCCCCCCCAAAGAACTAAATGAAACAGAGATAATCAACCTATCAGATGCAAAGTTCCAAACACTGGTGATCATGATGCTGAGAGAACTCACTGAGTACATCAACAACATAAAAAAGACCCAGTAAGAAATGAAGGTTAGACTAAGTGAAATAAAGAATAATCTACAGGTGACAAACAGTGGAGGAGATGATGATGGGATTCAAATCAATGATTTGGAACATAAGGAAGAAATGAGCATTCAACCAGAACAGTGAGAAGAAAAAAGAACTAAAACAATGAG